ATGAATGAGTGCTTCGTGCCCCTTCCCACACCTCTCCCACCCTCACACAAGATCACACCTGCTCACCAGGGTGGAGACAGCCCTCATTAATCTCAGGAAGCAGGAGGGGCAGACTGGTAAATGCGGCATCTCGGATTAACTAGAGAACACAAAGGCCGCCTGCCCAGCTTTGTTTTGAATCTGTCAATTCCAAATTCTGCTAGCTGGCAGAGACAGAGGTTATTGATTTTCCCTTCTGGAATGCATGTCCTACAGAGTCCTCGCAAATAGAAGCTGAAAAACAGAGGCAAACATAACTGCTGAGAAAGACAGGGCAAGGGGACATTAAAAAAAACACTCTATACTGGTGTTTGTCCTCTTCTCATCATGCTCTTTTGGGTTGTGGCTTGTCATTTCTTTTTTTCAATTCATTTTTCCCCTTCTCTCTGTCTTCCTGATGATCTCGATGATCTCTCTCTCTCCTCTTTCTCCCTGTGTCTTTGTCCAGTACTTACCACAGCATTTGCATACAGTAGGCACTTAATACTGGTTTGTCAAATGTTAGTCTATCTACAGAATCTCTCTTGATCAATCTGCCCATCTAACATCCTGTTTTTCTTTAAATATAGTACCCCTCCCACTTCCAGACAGGCAGCAGAGTGGAACCAGCTAATAAAACCAGCTTTTAGTAATTGCAGAGAGTGGTATTCCCAGTTAATCACTTTTTCTCTCTCCTCTGGAGAAGCAGGAAGCAATTAGAGGCTTCCTTCCACTGGCCCTTCAGCACACGTCCTACACTGGGGCTTCCCATTCCCACAGGGTCCAAACACTACCTGCATCCTTTTCCTTGGCTCTGCTGAAAGCTTGGGTACTTGCCCCCACTTGCTGGCAGCTTCCCGGGTTACTCGTTGGTTCTTCTGTTGTTGGGACGGCTGAGGGGAGGAATCTGGGCAGACAGAGGAGTCTCTAGATAGAGTCCTAAGATGGTTGGGTGTGTTACTAAGGGCAGGCTAGATAGGGAGGCCTTGGCTGAACTGTGTCTGCTGACTTTACCAAATTACACACACAATTTTATCATCTGGAAAATCGGAGTATCATCATCTCTTCCTTCTTGAAAGGAAATGTCAGGATAGGTAAAGACAATCTATGTTAAAACTACAAAATTGTATGAAAAGTAGACAATCCTTGATTTTTTCTTCGTAATGAAGCAATATAGTAAGATGGATAGACCTAGTTGTCATTTCATAGCTTGATCCTCCAATAATTTATCTTCTATTCCTATTTTACTTAAGTAACAGTAGAATAGTGTTACGTTCTCTGAGCTCACACAGAAGATGGAGAAGATTTGAGGGCTGCGAGGAGATTCTCAGACTGGGGACATTCCTGAGATTGAAAATTTGCTACTCATAACTCACAAGAGACAATCTACATGTGGGTGACTGAGGTCGGTAAGAGTGTTTCCTTAACAGGTTTTACAGAAAACTTCATTTCTGTAAAGCATCTCCTATTTTACATGTACTAATGCATACTTAAATGTATAATTTCAATGATCACATCTATGCAAATACTTTCCCTCCTTGAATTTGCTCCTCAGCTCAGTACCTATAGCTCTAATTACCCACGTGACATTTTCTCTTCAGTCTTTAAGACTGTTTAGTTTATCTCCCTTTTATTAAATTCATGAAAGCTCAGGCCCATAGTCGTTGCTGTGGCCCATAGACCAAATTCATTTAACCAGCAGGAGCAACAGGACCCGAGGTCAGGTTCACCGATTTCTGAACACACAGAAGATACTCTATCCATCCTAGGAGACCTAACATCACATCCACCTGAGGATCTATAAGCCTGGCTCTTCCTCCTGGCCTTTCAATCTCCATGGAGTGGAAGCTCTAGGAATGCAGAGCTCACAGACTGATCTCTCTTACTTTCTATGGCTTCCCCCAGAATGGGCACTTAATGGGCTCAAAGAATATTTTGATGGCTGCACGGGTGAATGACTATGAGAATTTGCCACCATTCCCTGTATTGTCTGAGTTTGGAACTCATCGTTTTCCACTTCTTTTTCCCTGGTCTCTAATAACTCATTGATAGCTCAGTTCTGCTGACTTGGTCTCTTCGACAACTTTGGACTCCTGCGTTCACTTCCGACAACTGTCTCCCAAGCGACAGCCCTGATTCCTTGGGGTCTACAGCCTCATCTCCCGCCCCAGCCTTTCCTTCTTCTACCTCCTCCTTCCTTAAGTTCCTCTTCCAGAAGAAATGTCATCACAACCTTTAGGTGGGAATCCACATTCTCAGTCTTCCTTCTAAAGTCCATGCTCCTTGCAAGCAAGGCTTGCTATCAACCTCTCTTTCTCACATCATACCTGTATAATCTCTACTCCCATGATGAGTTGGCTCTGTGTCCCTCGAAACACACCTTACACAGGTTTGCTTCCAAGCTTTATACACACTGTTTTTCTCTAAATACCAGTTGTCACTCAGGCTGAGTTAAATACTTTACAATTTTAACAACAAAGGAATAAAGCCATAACAGTAGCTAGAACTTCTAAAGAAACTTCCATGTGCCAAGCATAATGCTAGGTTACTCATATGCATTATTTTATTAACTCTACAAAAACCCTAAAAGATTAAGTACAAGTCTTACCTAAGAAGTCTGGGCTCAGAAATATCAAGTAAAGTACCGAATATGCACAACAGCTGGAAATCAGATGTAAATGTAGCAGACTTCCAAAGCCTCCTTTCTAATTTAAGGCTACATTGCCTAAAGCTATTTTTCTTCTCTGAGCTCTGATAGCCTTTACTATGCAGAGCCACTCATTTACCTATTTGCATGTGGATGGTTAAACCACTAAACATTCTCCTGTAGGCACCATTTTTCTTATCCCCTGTTTACTGTAATCCACCTGAGAATATGAACTATACTTCTAGGCCTTATGGATTCTGCCCAATAAATGCATGCTGACCAAAGTGGTTAGAAATGAAGTAATCAACCCCCTTTAGTTTTTGTTGGTTAATTTGTCCTCTAAGCAGTGAGTTTCTTCCCTCCCATCTTCCCCTGGACCACATGCTGACACTTGGCATAAATAGAGATCCTGGCTGAGTTCAGGCCTGGAATAATCCATGTTTGCATGGCCTGGAGAAGGAGGGTCTCACAGGAGTTACTGGGTGACTCAGGAATCTGTGCTTGCAGAACCCTGAAACTTCTAGCCCTTGAGATATTTTAGAAGTTAGCAATATTATAAGAAAACAACAAGCCCCTAAAACTCCAGCAACTGTTGAGAACCATTGTGAGATTTAATCACTTTCCTGAGAATCAAAGTTAGTTGGTAATTATACAGCCTTTCTTAGACATCACCATGATATGTGTGTATGTGTGTATATATATGTATATGTATTTTAACTAGCCCATTTAAAATTAGAACCATGAGTTGGGCAGATATAACACTTTGTACATGTAAAATGTTAATTTGGGGCTCCATCATCAAAAAGTTGGTTGACCTTGAGTTAGTCATTGTCCTTCTCTAGTCCTCAATTTTCTCACCACTGACCTGCGGAGTTTTAGAGGATCTCTAAGTTCCCCTCTTGCCTTGCCTTTCTGGGGTACGAATTAACACAACCTTGTAGTTTTGGTTTATGCGCACAATACTGAGTCACATTCTCCACAGCTTTTTCTGCTCCACTCTGCCCTCTCCTGCTCTGGGGCCGGATAAAGCAGTGGGCAGCCTTCTGTCTGGTAGCTCCTTGCAAAACCCCCTCTGTCTCCTGCTCCCTTCACCCTGAGGTGCCTCTGCCCTCTGTGTGTTTTGCCTGTTACACCAAATGCTCTCTCCTAAGTTCTCAGCAACAAGGGAGGCAGATAGGCTATATCCGGAAGCCGTCATTGGCTCCCAGCACCCTCAAGTCCCTGTAACCCGTATAGGGAAAACTGATAGCTAAATAAGTTAAAACAAAGCCAGACCCCTTCAGGGCTTCTCAAGTTCGATGTGAGCCTCTGGAGGAGGCCTGGGGACAGAAATGCCTTCTTAGACAAACCAGACCTGCTTCTGCACCCTCTCCAAACATAGGTTCTGGGCACATGGACACAGTGGTATAGGTAGAAAATTCAGAAGGCATACTCCTTGTGAAGGTAAGGACCCAGGAGTCATTGATGAGCAGCAAACAGTGAGGCCATGTAGGAAATGACAAGGGTTATTTGTGAAGTTCAAAAACATTTTGATAGAATAGTTGTGCCTAGACTGTATCCATGGGTGCAGGAATCTGCATGTGGTAACGATTACACAGAACACGTTCATGCACAAATACGCACAAATGGGTGCACGTAGAACTGTGAAACCTGAAGAATAAGGTCTGTGGTCACCCCAATGTCAGTGTCCCAGCTTTGATATTATACAACAGTTATATAAGATATTACCATTGGCAGAAAACTGGACCTGTCTACTATTTGAAACCTCCTATGAATCAATAACTACTTCCAAAAAAGAAACCAACCAAGCACCTAGTGGTTCTGGCTATGTCTCCCCACAATCCTGAGACACGAATCCCAGTGCTCCCTTGCAAGGTCCTATTGGTAACAGTGAGATCTTCACCATCATGATCGTCATCATCAAGGCTGCCATTTATTTAACATTTACTATGGGTCAGGCACTAAGCATTAAAAATATTCTCTCATTTGCATCAACACCCCCACCAGGCTATCATCCCCAGTTTATAGGGATAATGACCTTGGGAGAAGCTGAGTTGAGCCCCAAGCCACAGAGGCACTGCGGGGCCAGACTCTGACCAAGGTCTGGGACACTAATGCTCGTATTCGAGGGCAAATAACCAGAGGGGAATACGACTCTGCAGAGCTGTTGTGGCATTCCATGTGTGCTCCCTGGAAGCCACTAAGCGAATCCCTCAACCAGTCCCCGAGTCACCCGGACTCAGGCAGCACCGGACCCAGGAACACCGCCCTCCTGACTCGCCCCTTGGCCCAGCTCTGGGCAGAGCTGCGACAAAGCAACAAAAACGCCACTTACAGGTTCCTCACGGCGGCGATACCTCGGAACGCCTTCCTCGGGATCCCCAGGATCTGGTTTTCGCTCAGATCTCTAAACAAGAAGAGAAGAGGCACATTACGTTAAGCACCAAGGCCCGGCTTTATCTGCATCTCATTATGATAACAAAACCCCTCGGAGGCTGCCCTGCGGTCAGGAGTGTTTGAGGGGCTGTTTAGTCTCAGGCCCCAGACGGCTGGCTGCGAGCCTCCCTATTGTTCCTCTAGCGACGGCCTTGCAGGAGCAGCTCGCCACCAGGGCGGGCTCTGTGGGTGGTCTTGCACCTCCAGGCCACGAGCCAAGACGCTGGGTTATTTGTTGTACACACGGCACCCAAATGTCTGTTTTGCCACCTCTCAGAGACGACCCCTGCTCCCCTCTCATCCCCCACAGCATCCCTCCCCCACCACAGGGCCAACACCACTCCATCTCCCAGCTCAGGGACTCTGCCTTTGTCATCTGGAATTGGAATGGAGCCTGGCCATCCTGATTTTCTGATGGGGGTGACCATCTCCACTTATCCAGAGCCTCAGAGACCCCTGGGGGCCTCCTGGATTGGCCTAGTGACAGGCATGATGAATTCAAATTGCATTTCCACAAGCCCACCCCAAATGGGGTCCCACCGGCACCTCATCTAGCAGTAAGCAGTACAAAGGAGTTGCTTTGAGGAGGGAAGGTGAGGGACAGAGTGTCAGGTCTCCAAGCTGGCTCAAACCCAAGTCTTGTGACAGGGCCCTTTTAATAATCCTGAAAGCCTCAATTTCCTTTCCTAAGACTTACACAGTTGGTTTTTTTTTTCCACTTTATTTCTGTTTTTTTTTTTTGCTAGATCAAATACATATACTTGTTTTCATTCATACCTCAAGCTTGCTTGGAATCTCAATCAGTTATCAATCATATCTATGTGTATCTACATATATTTACACAAACATGTATATAAATTGTATCTTTATTTATACATATATAGTCTACCCATAGATATAGACACATATCTTCATCATTTTGAAAAGAACACAAAAGCCTTCAGCTATTAAGCTAAAACATTCACCTACCCAGACATAACCACTGTTACGAATTAGAAGTAATACAAATTTCACCAATATGATCTCATAGCATAGAGTCAGTCACAACCTCTTTTTTTCTATCATATAGAGAAATCTGTTCATGTTACTAACAGTACAGCTACACCAACACTTTTAATGGCTGTATATTATCCAGTTGTATAGATAGTTGGATATTTATTTCTTTGCCATTTGAGGAAACACTTGGATGGCTTCTCCTGTCCCCACATTTTGGGGACACTTGTTCAGCTACTACCATCGTATCAAGTCCTATGAGGAGAAAGTACAGGGTCACAGTCTAAACGCATCTTTAATGGCCCAGCTGTTCCAGAGACAGATTGTACCATCAGACCCTCTTGCACTGATTTTCCCACAGGCATCTAATCAAAAGCTATAGATGACTCCAAATATACTTGCAAAGAGGTCAGACAACCATCCTTCACTAAAAGCTGGGCCATCTAAATTAACATTTCACAAGGGGGTTTAAAAAAGGCCAGAAGAAGGGTGTCAGTTTCTTGGCTCTCACCTTGCTGAGGTGAGCTGCCACACCTAGAGCAGCTGGCTGGTTATCTGGGGCCACTTGTTAGGCCCCAAGGCAAACCTCAGAGTTGGGATATGGTGCAGATATGAACACTAGCGGCATCTGAGGATGAATAACAGGGTGCTCCCCATCTTAAATCCAGTTTCCTCTGTCTGTATCTGATGTAAGTAAATTTAGATGCACAATGAGCCCCATTGCAGACTCCCCAGGCTGGGCCTTGATTCAATGAGCAGGGCTCCAGCCTGGAGTCGGGGCGCTGAACAAAGCCCATGATGACAGCAGAGGTCAGGCAGTGTCACCAAGGCCACTCCTCTGCTCTCCATCAGCCTCCAGGAGAAGGGGGTTCAGGTCTTGTCATCTGACTAATGCAATTTCCACGAGGCATCTGGGCTGTACCCAGGGCTCCAGCAGCTACAATGGGCCCAGGCTCTTCTGCCAAGCAAAGGCTTGTCTCCAGGACAGCAAGCCCCTGCCTTCTAGCCTCCCAAGCTTGGCTGTTATCTTTGGCCACGCTGGGAAACAGTTCAGGCCACCCTTCTGGTAAATGACTGATAATCAAAATCAGGGGCAGGGGAAGCAAACAGGAGAGAGGTTTAGAACAGTCAGCTCTAACTATGCCTGGAAGCCAGGAGAAAGGGCACATATTCCAGTAATGCATTAACACTTTGTGTTTAGGTGCCCCAAATGTACTGAAGAAATAGCAATTGTTTGAAGGTCCTGGTTTACAATGTGGTGGGATAAAAAGAGAAGAGCAATGTTTAAGCAGAAAAATCTGGTGGAATTGCTGGGAAACCTGCCACTAAAGCAGTCACACAGGCAAAATCCTCCACTTGGTGGGGTAGTCACTTGGCTATTTTCTTGCTGTAAATGTACTGAGGCTTATTACTCTTAGCCTAAGGAGCCTGGTTTAAAGCTTTCCTTCTGCCTCCCTGCCATGGCTTACCTCTTGCCACAATTGAACAAAACAGTAGATTGTAGGGAATTTATCTGTTCCCCATGACAATCTGCTTGTAAATTTTATTAATTTTGTTTTCCATTGAGCTTCTCTTCTCTGGCTAACAATACCACTGCCATCCATCTGCAGGATTGTATATTGATTTCATAAATACCTCCACTGGGCTGACAAACTGACAGCTTTAATGGTGTTACTGATGGGGCATGGAGGAGGGTTCAGGGCTGGGCGCTTCATTTTCAGTAAGTGTCCCTTCACAATTATCTCAGGGCCTTTGTGAGGGTTCCTAATAGTGTGTTTATCTCAGCGTGATGCCTGAGCATGGAGCTATTGTTAAGTACTATCCTTGAGAGAGACAAGAGCACCATTTTCAGCTGACACTTAAATAAAAATAACAAAATCTATGTGTAGTGCCCAAGAGCCTAGTTCTGCCAATTGCTTTTTGGGGGTTTTGGGCTTTGCCCTACCTGAGGGAAAAATGCTCAGAAACGACCAGGGAAAGGGAACTTTTAAAAAACAAAAACAAAACCATTAGATGAAAGGTAAGAGGTTGGAGTAGGGTGAGAAGGTAAGAGGTGTGCTGGGACTTTCTGGAGGGATATGAAGGAAGGGGCTGGGGGAAAGGCGTTCCTGGTTGGGGAGTGGGCATATGGATCAGAATGCTTTTTTAAACAATTAGGAATCTGGAGGAAAGGAAAACTGCATTAGCTGGAGTGCATTTGTCCTGCTTCCCGAAAACATTAACTGACTGATTATTCCATCCAAAAACACAAGACTAAAGAGGAATTATTAAGGAGACAGAGGTCGAATAGGAGTTGCCAAAAACCAATATATTCCCCTTCCAGCCAACCCCCCCATACCCTTTTTAATTTACTAAAATGCTTTGGACACAGATTAACTTTCTTCACAAATTTATTATTGCTTCATCTACATTGAAATGGAACTGCAGACGCTTTGATAAATGGATTGAAAGGTTGTCTAGTTCCAGTGGAGCTTTTGAAATGCTTCCTGGGGCTCTCCCTGCAACGTAAGGCATGCTTTGTTCTCAGAGCAATGGTGAATGACAGTCCCCACCTTCACCTGACCCTGTGTTTACCAGGCAAGACTGCAAGGCAAGGAGCAGGGAAAGTCTCCTCTTTACTCTGCTCGGAACAATGTGCTTGTCTCGGTCACATTCATGCCACTAGGAAGTCCTGTCTGTTTTAAATGGCAGTATGTAGGGGGGTGGGATTTGCTCTTAGATGTCCATCTCAAATTATTCTGAAGGTGTAAAGTGGGGCTTAGAAGCTCCCTCAACCTTGGGGAATTCTTGCTTTTGAAGTGGGTGGAGCCACTTACTACCTATGTACTGTGCAAACGGAAAGGCTTTATTCCTCAATTTCTCCACCTTTACAGTGGGGCTATTAATTTTACTGGCCCCCTGGGTTAATTGTGAGGATGAAATGAGTTGATGCATGTGCACTTTGTAAGCATTCCCTGAAGGTCACTGTTTATTTCTTGGACCTCCCCCCGCATTCAGCCCTGGATTTACATTGCTGGCGTCCTTTATCATGATCCTCAGGACATATGCCTGCAGTTGTGCAAGGAACACCACACGCAAACATTGCTAATAGTCCTTCCATGAAATCTGAGGGAGGGAGTAAAGTCTCCCTCATCTACTGCCTGGACAGGAGTATCTGTATTTGATTGTAGTTTCTTTTGGACGAACAGGAGAGCTTGACTCAGGAGAAAGGTCTGTCTGAGGTTGAGCTCTCTGAGAAGCACTTAGCCCAGTGATGGATTCACAAAGTGCTCCTGGGCAAGACCAGCAAGGGATGGAGGAGCCAGAATGGAGAAGGGGCATAAAGGGCAATTCGGTAAAGTCCTGGCTTAGCCCAATACCCTGGCAGCTCCTGTCTCTAACCAAGGGATCTGGGCCTTTGTACCTCTGCATCAGAGACCACCCAAGAGAAATGCAAGTCTCCCAGCTCAACCTGCCCTCTATGAGGCTGAACAAGGTGTCTTCAGTAACTCAAGGAGAGAATGGTGAAGAGGTCCACAGCTATGATCTTTAGCAGCAAAGTCCAAAGGGTCAGTAAAGGGGGTCCAAAGGATCCCACCCAAAGCATTTATAAGAAGGCTTCAAGGAGAGTTTTCCTGACTCAGGAAGTTCTCAGATTAAGAAAATCACTCCTGAAAGATGACATATCCAGGATCATGGTTCAAGAGGCAACAAGGAGAAGCTAACTGACTAAAGAAAACTGGAATAATCTATTCTGGTACCTTCTTTGTCTACTTTCCCAAACCTTTTGTACTGAGACCAATCAGGTGCTTTTTTAGTAACATTAAAATAAGATCTGTCAACTCCTTTTTAACCATACTAACAAGAGGATGATCTAAAAGCATTTATATTTGGAATCATTATAGGATTTGGGATAAGGGCAGTGGATAACCATTATGATTCTCTTCAACCTGAGGATATATTAAATTACCTTCTCAGTCACTGCCTAGTAGGAGGAAA